CACAAGAGTGCACTGCTGCAGTCATCGTGTCAATCCTCCTCATGAAGGGTCTTCCCCTCCTTCTCTGACCCTCCACTCTTCCCAGAATCATGTCCTTCTCCAAGGAATAGCTGCTTCTAGCAACATGCCCAAAGTATGTGATGTGAAGCCTCATCATTCTTTCCTCCAAAGAGCACTCCAGCTGCACCCTCTCCAAGACATATCCATTTGTTTTCTTGACTGTCCATGGGATGTTCAGTGCTCTTCTCCAACACCACAGCTCAAAGACATCAATACTTTTCTGTAATCCTTACTCATTGTCCAGCCAGAGGCATTTGCAAGAAAAGTCTAGCAATTAAATTCTGTAATGTTTAACTATTTGTTATTTTCCAGCATTTTTAAAATCTATTTAAACTGTTGATAATCCTATCAAATGAGCACAGTTTACCATGTGCCATGGCATTCATTTTTCTTTTCTAGAAAATAATTACCAGTCATTTTCTCAATTGTTCTTAAATTAAAAGAGATATTCTTTGAGTTAGTAACTCTGGTCATCTAGTGGTAAGGAGTTGCACTGCCAACCCAAGGGCAGATAGTCTGAGTCCACCAGCTGTTCTGGGAGAGAAAGATGAAGAATCTATCCTCTATTGATTTACAGCTACTGATATTTCACTGTATGGCCACCTATGAGTAGGTTCTGACTTAATAGCACATAATTACATTAACAATAACAAGAGTCAAGAAAAAAACATTAGCCACACATCAGTAATTCCATCACTGTTTTGGCAGAGACTGCAAGACAACTGGTACTCTTTATTCCTAAATTATCCTTGGACAGTTTGCTCAGAGTACATAGATACAGAAAGAGGAAATAACCTTGACAGGCGCCTTTCTTAACTTTAAACTACTCCATGTTCCCTTGCTTTACCTGCACCACAGCCTCTTGGTTTCACATAAGCATATTTAAGAACTCTGGGATTCCCATTCTTCTTAATGTTAGCCATACTTTGTTATGATCCACACAGCCAGATGCCTTTGCATAGTCAACACAAGAGAGGCAGATGTTCTGGTCTTCTCTGCTTTCAGCTAGGATCCATGCGACATCAACAATGATATTCCTCATGCCACAGCCTCTACTAAACCCAACTTAAACTTCTGTCAATTCTCTGCACTGTTCTAGTCATTTTTAGATGATCTTCAGCAATATTTTGCTTGCATGTGATATTGTTATTATTCCATCATTTCCACATTCTGTTGGATCATCTTTGCTGGGAATGGGAACAAATATAGATCTCTTCCAGTCATCCAGCCAGTAGCTGTCCTGAAAATTTCCTGGCACAAACCACTGAGGATATCCAGGTCTGCCCCTATAGTTAAAACATTTCAAATGGTATCCCTTCTATTCCTGGCTCTTATTTTTGCCATCTTCTTTTGATGCTTCCTTCATTCAACATTTTTCCCATAGCATCTTTGATTTTCTAACTCCAATTCTTTGCATGTTTCATAATACTCTGTCTTCTTGAGCTGCTCTTTGATATTTCTGTTCATCTCTTTTACTTCAGCATTGGTTCCTTTTGTATTGGTTTCTTGACACTCTGGTGCAATTTTCAGGATCTCCTCTGACATCATTTTGTTTTTTCTTTCTTTCCTGCCTCAAAACAAAGTATTTCCCAATTTTTTTTCTTTTTGTATTCATTTTTATTTACTCACTCATACACAATTCATTTAATAATATTTACCATAGTATAATGCCATTATTTACAATGTTCTATCAAAATCTTCTAGCAAAATGCTATCGTTAGGTGTCTGATGCAGGCCATGATCTTTTCCATTACTTGCTTTGCATCAAGAGCTGGACAATGATTAAGGATGAAAGACAAAGAATCTAGTGCCTTTCCGTTGCAACATTGGAGTACTGAAGATCCCAGGGACTGCTAAAAACAGTCAGATAAACTTTAAGAGATGGACTGACAAAATGACTGAAGCAATGGGCTCAAGGGCGTCAAAGACGATGAGTCTGGGACAGGGCAGGACAGGGTTCAGGTCTATTGTTCAAAGGGTCTCGTCTGACTTGTTGGCATCTAATAACACCTCTCAGTATTGCTATTTTTAGGCTAGAATTTGGTTTTCCATTCTTTCAGCTTGAGGTAGTGAGTTCTTCTCTTCTCAAACTCCAGCTCTGCACATTCCATTATAATAACTTCTTCTGTCTTCCTGAGCTGCCCTTTGAAATCTTCTGTCCAGATCTTTTACTTGAGCATCTCTTCCTTTCGTTCTGGCTCCTGGATTCTCTTGTGTTCAGTCTCTTTTACATTCACTTTGGTCTTTTTTTTTTCCTGTGCTATGTAATGACCTTTTCTCTCTTCTTGAAAGATACTCTTGATATCATCCCACAACTCAACTGGTCTTCTATCATTAAGGTTCAATATCTCAAACCTATTCTTGAGATGCTTTTTAAATTCATGCTTATTATTTAGGCTCTTATAGACTCATTTTCATTTTCTTCAGATACAATTTTACTTTGTAGATGAGAAACTGAAGGTCTATTCTACAGTTAGTACCTGTTCTGGTTTTGATTACTAATAGTGAGATTTTCCAATGATTCTTGTCACAGATGTAAGCCAATCTAATTCCTATGCAGTCCACCAGCTGAGGTCCATGGATTGTCCCACATGTGTTTCTTTAAAAAAGGTATTTGTTGTGAATAAATCCATGAACATACAAAATTCAATCATTCCTTTTTTGACACTCCTTTCTGTCACCAAGCCCTATTTCCCCACTATCATCCCTTCTTTATTGTTTCCAACTCTTGCCTTCCAGTCACAGATTGTTATTAATGCATCAGGATTGCATGTCTGGTTAATTTTGAACTGCAAAAGTTGGTATAAATCCTCGATTTTCTCCTCTATGACTTGAGCTGTTGGCGTACATATTTAAGTAAGAGTTGTATTAACAGGTTTTCCTTGTATGCATATGGATGGTATCCTATGCTCACAGCATTCTACTTCAGGACAAATATTGAAATGATATTTTTAACTATGAATCCAACAACATTCTTCCTCTTCATTCCTGGAAAAGTAAACCATGACTATTCGATTCAAAGTGGTCAATATCAGTCGATTTCTGCTCACAAATGCCTAGATGTCAATATTTAAGCATTCTATCTCATTTTTTACAATGTTCCATTTTCCTATGTTAATCCTTTGTCCATTCTACACTACAATTATTAGTAGATGTTTGTAACTGTTCTTCCTCATTTTCAACGTCTTCCAGTCTGAGGGCTCTTCCTCCTGTGCTGTACCTGTTTAACTATATTGTTCACAGTGTTTTTGAAGACTTGCTGTGTCGAAGTGGCTGGCTGATTCTCCTTCCTAGTCCGTCTTAATTGAGGTGCTCTGCTTTGGTACAGCATCTGACAGACAAAGGCTGTACCTTTAAGAGAAGACAATAAATAAGCAAACGTGCACATATATAAACTATTAAGAGCAGCAACATTTGAAACACTCCTCCGATACAAGCAAGTGACGGACAAATGATTATACCCCTAAGAGCAAACCATAAGAACAAGTGAACATGCAGGTCGCATGGCGTAGGTGGGAGGGTCCCTCAGTGAGACACCGTACGATGTCCAGAAGGTCGGGGGTGAGAGTCAGCTTCTCCCTGGGGAAGGCAGGTACACTGCTTTACTTTTAGGTTCCAGGATTCCTCTTAGTTTCACAAAGTTGTTTTCAATTTCTTGGCTAAATCTCTCATTTTTGGCTGTCCATTTATTTTCTGAACTTCTCTAGTTTGTTTTCTGTGGTTTTATGCAGACATATTTATAAAATCATTACTATTTACATTATTCTTTATTCCACAAGAAGTATTTCTTCTTCCTGTTTTGCTTTTGGTGTTTCTTTTGTATGTGTTTAACTAACTTTTGTTGAACTTGGCCAGTCTGTTCCTTTTTCTTCTTCTACTTTTGTATTCTTTATGGTGGATAAATTTTCTGATGGGACACTCTGACCTCACAGTAGCCGAATGCCTGGATGACAACTGAAGGGCCCAGACCCAGCAGTCTCTCCTTGGAAGAGAGATGTCACAGGCCACCTCCACAAAGCCTCTCTGCCATGAGAGCAAGGACTCACTGGCAGCAGGCTTGGTATTTCTCCTGAAAAGCACTAGATGGCACCCCATCCTTGAGTTTTTTCAGTGCTGGTTCAGTTCTGTATACTGAGTGTCTGGATTCAACAGGAGCTATGGGAGGGAAACGGTTGTTAGGAGATGCAGCTGGAAGCACTACGGATCGGTTTCTCTGCAGTGCTGATGTGAACGATGACCCTCCACCGCTGGACCCCTGTGAGCTGCGTCCTCTGTGCTGTCAGTCTAGAGGAACACTCTTCCCCTGCAGCCTTTGCAGGATCTCTGCTCCTAGTGCCCACATACGGGCCTCAGAGAAACTCAACAGCACTCTCCAGCCGTGCCATGGTCTCCTTGCACCCCTTGTGCATTACGCCACCCATGATCTTCCACAGCCTATTTGCACCACCTTTAAAAAATGAGACAGAGCCTCTTCCGTGTCTCTTGTTCGTGCTGTGTTTAGAGTGACAACTAGACCCTGTTCCAAGACGGCTGGGCTGTGATGAGCAGGAGGTCACCCTGTCGGTGGGAAAGACCTCGCAGCCCCTGAGCTGACCCAGCACCTCCAGTTCTGCCCCTGGACTCGTCCCCACTCTCTAACACTCCAGAGGCTCAGAACCATTGCTGTAAGATGTCAGTCATGCTGGTTCTGAGTCACTGCTCAGTGAGTTCGCTGTGAGCAGAGCATACAGGGACATCAGTCACCGGCATCTTGTTGCTCCAACCACAGAACTTTAGGCAGGACACCGTAAGGGCATGAGCAGTCATTTTCTAACAAGTCAGTATCACTGGGAGTCACAAACTTTACTTTCATTTCTTAAGATAAAAACGAATTCATAAACACACACGGTCGCATGCTCACACACAGACACACATGTCCCCTTCAAAGAAAGGCCCTGTACCTGGCCAAGACAGAAAGGCTCCTCCCCACGCCAGGACCCTGCTGCAGCCTCATGAGCGCGGCCACGTTGACTTCCAGCACAGCTATCTTATTTCCAAACATGGACGTGACGATGCAAAAGGTCTGCAAGGGCAGAGTTGTGACAGATTTAACAGAGCAAAAAGGAACACTGTACATAAGTATCCATAGTCCTACCCACAAAAGCAGCTCTTCAAGTGAAGTTGGCTTCATTTACAATAATAAGTTTTACCACTGGGCTGGTAAGTCATTGAACTGTAGTTTGTAACTCATAATAAATCTCATTTAGTAACTTAATCACTGCTGACATTATGCTGAAGTCCAAGTAGTAAACAACTTCACCTTGTTGGCAGTGGTGGTGCATACCATTCAGTCACGATGGGCTCATGGCTCACCTTCCTAGAGGTTTCCAAAGGCTGGAAATCGCACAGGAGGAGAAGGCACATCCCCCGCCCCAACCCTTGCAGAGTTCAGCTGGTGGACTGGATCAGCTGCTCGACAGGATCTGAGTGCCCTCTGGGTTAACCAGAGTTCCCTGATTCATCTCTAAATTAATCTCAGAGAAACCAGATGCAGTGAATATTTTATCACCCACCTTTCCATTCACGGTGTTCTTCATTATTGCACATGATCCAGAAACTTTAATGGTGAGGCCTACAAAATCTTAATTTTCAGAAAAAAAGAAACAACAATGTTTAAGACACAAAGAAACAGAACAAGAGGCCCATTCATACATCCCTCGCTATGTGAGAAAGTGCTCGCCACCCTCACGGGACAGCCTGGACATGGATAGGCAGGGTCAGCCAGGTGAGGAAGTTACCCTGCACTGACTGGGGCAGGCCCGAGAGGCTGGATTCAAAGGAGGTTGATGAGAAGAGGAGGCATAGTCGGAGGGGAGGGCACTCTGCTCCATGGACACCTCAAGGCTTTGAAGCCCAGAAAGGAAGTGTGCCATCACCATGGGTGGGACAGAACTGATGGGCATTCAGGGCAGGGACAGGCAGAACTGTTCTGTACATATTACTGTGGACAAGAGGTCAGAGAGAGAGGAGAGGCTTGCACAGTGCTCTGAGCACCAGCAGTGGGGTCACCCTACACAGGAAGAGCAGCACAAGGGAATGAAGAGGCAGGGTGGACGGGACAGGGACAGGTGCAGGATGGACGAGGGCCGAGGAGAGAAGGGAAAGAAGGCAGAGTGGATGGGGCAGGGAAAGGGTGGACATGGGCCAAGCACAGAAGGGAAAGGACGCAGGGTGGACAAGTGCTGAGGGGAGGAGGAAAAGGAATAGCACTGAGATAGGTGGGTCTGAGGTGGGTGACTGAACGCAGGAGTGAGGTGGGCCAGTCTGAAGTCAGTGAGTGGCCACGGGAACGACACCGGTGGGTCTGAGGTGGGTATGTGAATCCAGGAGTGAGGCAGGTAGGTCTGAGGTGGTTGGGTGGCACCAGGAACTGGCAGAAGATGGGACTCTGAAAGACTGCATTAAAGGATGGCCGTGGAGACTCCTCAGGGTGTGGTCAGCCGTGCTGAGCAGCTCCAGGGCCAGGTGAGAGTGGAGGAAGTGTGTCCAGTGGGTTCTGCAATCCTCTGGCCTGGAATGAGGGTGACCATCTGGCTATAAAGCAAGGCCTGTCCTCTGCTCCCGGGCCTGGACTCCACACACACAGGTTCTGACCACCCTAGGACAGGCAGACTTGGGATCACCAGACACAACAGTGATGGTGCGGATTTGCAAGCTCACCTCTATAAAGTAAAACAGCCTCCAATTCCAAGCTGGCCAGGCTGAACAGGAACATGCCAGCTGAGCTTCCGATCCACAGACACGGTGTTCTCTCAGCAGGTAGACTAGTTAGAAAACAGATGACTGCATTGGGGGCTGACGGGGAGGGTCAGGGCCACAGCGTCCAGCCCCGCACCGCAGCCCTGTCTGTGCTGGAAAGGCACAATCACTGTGGGTCTCCAAGGGTGAATGACGCTGAACTCAGCTGCACCCTGAAAGTTAGCGGTGGACAGCTGCACTCACCCCCCTCCCAGCACCCCAGAAGAAAAGTCTGGTGACTGGGTCTCGGCCCCTAGCACAGAGCTCAGGGCGAGTGTACTGCTGCTACATGGGTCAGAAGTCCACTTGCTCGCTCACTGCCGTGGACGCACAGCTGGCCCTCTCGCTGTTTCTGAGGCTGTAAATCCCCTGGCGGGAGAAGGCCCATGCTGTTCCAGTGGCGCTGCTGCTGGCTCTGAACCGTCAAGAGGTGCAGCCTTCAGATCAGCAGCACCACTCCCGACCAAAGACGCCAGCAGAGCCCTCTGGTGGCCTCCAGGTGATGTGTCCTTACCATATGCCACTGAGCACAGGGCCATGGCAGGAGGACCTGAGGTGGACTTGCAGCTCAGCCCCTGCAGAGCAAAGGCCTGCTGTGGCACAGCTGGGGAGTCACGGCTCAGCCAGTGACCACTGTCCAGCATCTGAGCTGCCCAGTGAAACATACCACCCTGCCCAGTTTCCCTCTCTCAGGCTTCCAGGTGGGGCCACTGCCGACTCCACTCCACAGTGAAGTGCACTGAGTGCCCAGGCACCATCCAGCCTCTGCTGCCAGTGATGCCCCTAACCTCGGGACACAGCTAGTGATGCCTCTAACCTGTGGACACGACCAGTGATGCCCCTAACCTGTGGACACGACCAGTGATGCCCCTAACCTGTGGACACGACCAGTGATGTCTCTAACCTGTGGATACGGCCAGTGATGCAGGTTCCAGCAGGCTCCTAAACCACAGAGCACAGAAGCCATGAGTAGCACCCAGCTGCCTCTTCACCCACCAGCAAACAAGACAGAGGCTCACAGACACAGCAGCCAACTGCTAGAGCCAGGGGCTCAGTTCATCTCCTTGAGGATGACGCAGGACAGGGTTAGGGTTCGAATCCATTGTTCACAGGGTGACCATGAGTTGTAGTCAACTCAACAGCATCGAACAATAAGACACAATTCTTCATTAAAAAGAGATGGAAGGAACACAGTCAATATACCAAAAAGAACTGGTCAACATGTCAGGAGGAGGGTATTATCAAGAACAAGTAATACTGAAGGAAGAGGAAGTTCAAGCTGCACTGAAGGCATTGGTAAAAAAAAATAAGGCCCTAGGAACTGAAAAATGAGGTGTTTTTACAACAGTAATCAGCACAACACGTGCTCACCAGTCTACAGCCAACAATTTGGAAAACAGCTACTTAACCAACTGATTAAAAGAGATCAATACTTGTTCTCAATATTAAAAAAAAAACCCAACAACACGTGATCCAACAAAGTGTGCAAATTATCATTCAAAACAGATTATTGAAAAACAGTTGGAACAGTATCCTGACAGGGCACTGCCAGATCTAAACTGGATTAAGAAGAGCCCATAGTGCAAGGCATATCATTAATGATGTCAAATGGATCTTGGCTGAAAGCAGAAAACATAAGAATTATGTTTCCTCGCATTTTACTTAATATACAAAGGCATTAGACTATGTGGGTCATAACAAATTATGGAAAGAAACACTGAGAAAAACATCAAGAATGAGAATCCCGGAACACTTAACTGTGCTCATGCAAAACCTATGTATGAACCGAGAAGTAGTATTATGAACAGAAAAAAAGGAGCACTGCATGGCTGAAAAGCAGAAGAATGTGCACCTCGACTGCATCCTTGCTGTGTATTTGTTGAGAAGCTGGACTCTCTGAAGAACATGCCATCAGGTTTGCATCAACAAGCTGAGCAATGGCAGAAGACTGAAGTTCACTTGCAGAAAATGAAGAGGACATTCTGCAGAAGATCAAAGCACATACTGAAGATTAAAGACTGCAGCCTTCAAAATGGGTTAAAACTCAATGTCAAGAAAACAAAGCTTCACCACTTGACCAACAGGCAGCATCATGAAAGACAGAGAAAAGACTGGCATTGTCAATAGATTTCATTTTACTTAGATCCACAATCAGCACCGATGGAAGGGAACAGCAGTCAGGAAATCAGGAGACATGGTGCACAGAGGAAATCGGATGTCAAGGGCTTCTAAGTGCTAAAGGGCTAAGATATCAGTTTAAAGACTTGGGTGCACTTGGTCTAAGCCATGTTTTTTTCAAATGCTTTCTCTGCAACTGAAAACTGGACAATTAATAACAATGAAAGTAGAAACCCTAAGCTTCTGTAAACTTTCATTAAAATTAATTAAAAAAATAAAGATGACAGAAGAATCAATGATTCTGAATTGTGGTATTGCAGAAGAGTGCTGGATATCCCAGGGACTATCAAAAGAACAAACAAACATCTTTTTTTAAAAAAAAAAGTGCAACCAGAGTGCTTCTGGGATACAAGAATGGGGAAACTCCATTTCACATACTTCAGATAAGCTGACTAGAGGGGTCAGTCCCTTAAGGAGATAGTCTAACACAGCAACTGTAACAAAGGCCTGGAGCATGACAGAGTGGTGCGACTGGCACGGGGCAGGTCAAGGTTGAGACTGCTGTTGACAGGGTTCCTATAAGTTGCGGTTGATTTTGAGGCTCCTAGCATCCAAGCCGCATCTGTTAATTGAAACAACTCAATGGGGTCTCACTGATTCCTGGGGACTTAAGTTTTGCCAGCGCCTTGAACGCAGCTTCTACTTCCTCCTTCATTACCATTGGCTCCTGTTCATATGGTACTTCCTGAAATTTTTCCGTACCCATCAATTCTTTCCAGTACAATGACTGTGTATTCCCTCCATCTTCTTTTGATGTTTTCTGGGTCATTAAATACATTGCCCAATCCAGAGTCTCTGTAAATTTTCATTGAAATCAATACTAAATTAAAAAAGAAGAAAAAATATCAACACATCTTAAAAAAAACAAACTGAGAAAGAAAAGGAGTTTAGTGTCCAAGAAGTACCTAGGTGGTTGTTGTGTTATTGTTGTATACCATAAAGTTGGAACTGACCCATAGCTGACCCTCTGAATGGTTAGAAGCCATTGATATTCTCAGTTGCAAACCAAAAGGTTGAAGGTTCAACTCTACCCATAGGCATCTTGACAGAAAGTCCTGATGATCCACCATCTGGTCTTCTATCATTGGTGTTCAATGCCTCAAATCTGTTCTTAAGATGATCACGAAATTCCAATGGAATAGATTCAAGATCATATCTTGGTTCCTGTGTAATTATTTTCCTTTTCTTCGGCCTCAATATAAACTTGCATATGAGTAATTAATGATCTGACCCACAGCCTGCCCCTGGCCTAGTTTTGACTGCTGATATTGAGATTTTCCAACACTTTCTTCCACAAATGTGGTCAATCTGGTTCCTATACAGCCCATAGAGTGAAATCCACTTGTAAAGTTGTCTTTTGTGTCTTTTAGAAAAAAGTATCTGCAATGAATAAATCATTGTAAATATAAAATTCATTCATTCTATTTCCAGCCTCATTTCTACCACCAAGCCTATATATTCCAACTACTGTTCCTACTTCACCACTTGCTACTTTTGCATTCCAGTCACCAATTACCATTAACACATCCTGATTGCAGGTTTGATCAATTTCAGACTGCAAAATTTGTTAAAAATTCTCAATTTCCTCCTCTTTGGCACTAGATGCAGGAGAATATACTTGAATAATAGTCATGTTAACTGGTCTTCCTTGTATGTGTATGGATATTATCCTATCAGTCACAACATTGTATTTAAGGATAGAATGTGAAATTGACTTTTTTACTATGAATGCAACACCCTTCTTCTGTTTTTCATTCCCTGCATAGTGTATCATATCATTATCTGATTCAAAGTGGCCAAAGCTGGTCCATCACAACTCACTAATGCCTAGTAGATCAATATTCATGCATTCCATTTCATTTTTAACAATTTCCAGTTTTCCAACATTCAAACTACACCATGCCTGTACCAATTGTTAAAAGATGCTTTGTTACTGATTTTCCTCATTTCAACTGACTCCTACTCTGGGCTCTACCACCACACCACTGTAACTACCCTGTTTGTTTAATATTCATAGGGTTTTCAAAAGCCTTTTATTTAGGAAATAGATGGCCCGTCCTACTTTCTAGTCTGTCTTAAACAGGGAACTCCACTACAACCCATCCACGATGGGAAACCGTTTTGGAATTTGAAGCACTCGTTGCAGAATATCAAGGAATGCAGCCTTCAGTATGGATTGTGTCTCAATATCAAGAAAACAAAGATTCTTGCCACTGGACCAATAGGCAGTGTCATGATGGATGGAGAGGAGATTAAAACTGTCAACAGCTTCATCTTACTTGGATCTACAATTAACACCCTTGGTACCAGCAGTCAGGAAATAAACAGACACACTGCACTGGGAAAGTCTGCAGTTAGGGACCTTTACAAATTATTGAGGAGTAGTGATTCAGTTTGAGGACTAAGGTGCATCTGATTCAGGCCACAGACTTTCTGATTACTTGCTATGCATCCAAACCCTGGACAATGAATAAGGATGACAGAAAAAGAATTGATGCCTTTGAGCTGTGGTGTTGAAGAAGAGCATTGAACATTCCATGGACAGTCAAGAAAATGAATAATAGATATGTCTTGGAGAGGGTGCAGCCAGAACACTCTTTGGAGGCAAGAATGATGAGGCTTCCACTCACATACTTTGGACATATTGCCAAGAGGTTCTACTCCTTGGATTGGGACATGTTGGGAAAGGTGGAGGGTCAGCAAAGGAGAGGAAGACCGTTAACCAGATGGACTGACATGGTGACCGCTGCAATGGGCTCTTGTGTGTCAGGAAGTGTGAGGATGGCACAGGACAGAACAGGGTTCAGATCTTTTGTTCACAGGGTCACTATAAGTCGTACTCAACTCCCTGGCACCTCACAACAACAATGTAACCAGTCTAGGTGTAAAACCCCTTTTCTTTTTTCATTTTTTTAATTCATTGTTGCATATTTTCTTAGCACCTCCACCCCCACCACACCCTGCAACGCACTCCTTGTTCTAGATTCTTCTCAGACATATAATGCGTAATCATATATTCCTTTTTGACAGTTCTTCTCTCATATGTTCTAATGCAGTGTTTATTGTCTATCCACTCTTTTCCTATTCTCTTTTCACCCCCCCCATATCTGTCTTATTTTATAATAGCAGTGCTATGTAGTATTTGTCCTGTGACTGAGATATTTCTCTCAGTATAATATCCCTCGGGGTCACCCATGTTGTGTAATGTTTTACAAGTCCATTGTTTATCAGTGCTGTGTAATATTCCATTGTGTGAATGCACCATAGTTTTTCTATCCATTTATTTGTTGATTGGCACTTGGGTTGCTTCCATCTCTTGGTTATTGTGAATAACACAGCAATAAACACGGGTGTAAAAGAAAAGAAAATAAGCATGATGTGTATGAGCTGCAGCTCTGGTTTCTTTAGGGTGAGTTCCCGGTAGTGGGATTGCTGGGTCAAACAGGATTTCTATTTCCAACTTTTTGATAAAGCACCATACTTTGGTCCATAGTGGTTGCACCCTTTTACACCCCCATCAAAAGTGATTAAGGGCTCCAGTCTCTCCACAACCTCACCAGCATTTGTTGCTTGCTGCTCTGTTGAACTTTGCTATTGTTGTTGGGGTGAAATGATATCTCATAGGTTTTTATCTGCCTCTCTCTGCAACCGAGGTATTTTGAACATTTCTTCTTGTGTTTGTTTGCTTTCTGAATGTCTTCTTAGGTGAAGTGTCTATTCATATCTTTGGCCATTTTGTGATTGGGTCATTTACCTTTTTCCCGTTGAGGGGCTGGAGTGTTCTGCAATTTTATATGTAAGTCCTTTATCAGATATGTCATCACCAAAAATTTTTTCCCAGTCTGTGGGCTTCCTTCTTACACTGTTGGAGAGTTTGTTGTTGTTTTTTAACTTATACTGATTTATTTACGAAGTTTTAATGCACTGTTTTTCACACAAGATCCTTCCCATTTCCTTCACCACCCCATCAAATTGTGCTACCATATGATTAACACCCGTCCCCTGCCCATCTTCACCCCTCTGCTTCCACCTTCCCTCCCTCCTCCATCCTTAGATCCTCATACTCATCCTACAAGAATGATTTTACGCAGTGTTTGTCCTTGTGGGACTGAGTTAGTTCACTCAGTATAATGCTCTCTAGTCCCTCCCAAGTTAGGTAGTAATTTACAAAATCATTGCTCCTGTGTGCTGCTTAGTATTCCATTGTGTGAATGTACCACAATTTTTCAATCCATGTGTTTGTAGTTGGACATCTGGACTGTTTCTGTGTTCTTGTGATGGTGAATAATGCTGCTATGAACACTGGTGTACAAGTCTCCATTTGAGCCTCAGTTCTCATTTTCTTGGGGTACATTCCAAATAGTGGAATATCTGGGTCATATGGAATTTCTATGTTCAGCTTTTTGAGGAAGTGCCAAACTGCTTTCCAGAGTGGTTGGCAATAAGAGAGATGTAAATCAAAACCACAATGAGATACCATCTCACTCCAGTAGCAGTGGCAAAGTTTAAAGGGACAGCATGTAATAAATGTTGGAAAGGATGTGGTGAGATAGGTGCTCTTACATTGCTGGAGAAGTTTTTTGATGAGCATAGGGATTTGATTTAAGAAAGTCCAATTCACCTATTTTATTCTCTCCTAGTTGTAGGTTTTTCATTATACTTGGATGACTGTTCATGCTGTGGATTAGGGCTTCTGAAGTTCTTCCTAGCTTTTCTCTGATGAATTTTATAGCCTTTAGTATTACTTCTGGGTCTCTGATCCATCTCGAGTTAGATTTTGTATACGGTGTGAGATGTGAGTCTTGCTTAAGTTTATGCAGAAGGTTTTCTAATTTTGCCAATACCATTTTTTAAAGGGACTATCATTTCCCCACAAACCTCTTCTTTAATAATGAGCATGGGACTAATTTGGAAGCTCTGGTGGCACAGTTTCCATCTGTGGTTGTGCTGCTAACCCGAAAGCCAAGCCTGACAATGTGCAGCCATCAGTGTCGCTCTGGAAGAAAGACAGGCAATCTCTTGTGCCATTTACAGCCTTGGAAACACACTGGCAGACCAGCTAAGAGTTGGTTCTACCTCGATGGCAATGACGGGTTACGAGAAAGAATACTCCTGAAAGGGTCCCTCTTCCTTGGCATCAGCCCAGGTGGCCACACTCACCCCGTACACCCAGGATTCACAACGAGGGGCAGGTCACAGTGTTGGAAGTGCAAAACAGGAAAAGTGACTTCTATGGTCTCTTCTGTCCCTTGCTCGTGTGGAGGGGATGGCTGGCTCTCTCCTAAAAAGAGAATCAACCAAGAATCTTACAGTGGGATTGGCCACTAGTGAATGCAAAAAAAAAAAAAAAAAAAAACCCATGAGGGGTAAGGTAAGTTCCTCACCAACTGAGTGGACGGAAATGAGAAAGCTGACGACTGTGAGGACAGAATGCTTTTCAACATAAGGTCAAAGTGTGGAAGAGGAACCATCAGTCTTCACCCAAAACATCATAAAACATTATTTAAAAAAATAAACAAGTCTTAGTGATTCTCTGCTGTCAGTCAGTTTGTGATGCCCTGTTTTTGTTTTATACAATATTAAAAGTAAAATCTGCTTTAATAACCTTCTATCTCCTTAAGGAGCCCTACTGGCAGAGTGTGTGATATGCCAGGTTCTAAGCAAAGTCAGTGGTTCCAATCCACCTGCCACAATCTCCTCCCATAAAGATATGCAGCTATGATGAGCAGTGGAGGGCCCCCATGCATGGCCAGGGTGAACCATGGGGCCCCCGATGCGTGGCCGAGGTGAGCCATGGGGCCCCCAACATATGGCTGAAGTGAGCCATGGGGCCCCATGCATGGCCAAGGGGGGCTGCAGGGACCCCCAAGATATGTCCAGGGTGAGCCATGGGGTCCCCAACATGTGGCCGACGTGAGCCGTGAGGGTCCCATGCATGGCCAGGGTGAGCCATGGGGTCCCTGACATGTGACCAGGGTGAGCTGTGGGGCCCCATACATGGCCAGGGTGAGCTGTGGGGGCCCCTTGAGTCAGGGCTGACCTCACAGCAGAGAGTTGTGGGTTCCTTAACTTACAGGTCACAACAATATTAGATATTTATTCTTTTGAAGAATAAATTAGTTTGGTTCTCTTTTTTGAAAATGCTGGCATTTCAAGAGGTTGTGGTAAATACATATATAGTAAGATGTTTCTAGAAAAGGAGCCAGGTTAAAATTAGAACCCACACATGGACGTACGGCTATGACCTCATGAAACCCTGAGAGGGGAGGGGAGAGAGGAGAGGCAGGCAGTAACGAGTGGGGACACAGTAACCCCCATCTCCAGGCAAGTTCACGTCCCAACAGACTTTGGAGCCATGGCCGCAGCCCCCACACTGACTCCTGCTGTCCTGCAGGGCTCTCAGTGCTGCCCGGCATCAGCCATCCAGGGCTGTCCCTGGGGGCTCCGGGGAGGTTCACACAGCCAACACCACTCCACCATCCGCCATCACCTTTCTGTGGTAGAGGGGCCTCAGACCGGCACAGGGAAGGTGCCTAATGCTCAGGCAATGCTCTGCTCCAGCACAGGGCCACGCAGGCTACCTCCAGAAAGAGGTGCAACAGACACGAGTTGGTCCTGTCTAGACGAGCCGGGGGTGGGCTGAGCAAACGCTTCTGTCTTCTCAAGAATAGTTCCCCGTCCAGTAACCCCTGGGGAGCCCACTGAACTTAGAATAAACATTCTCTCCTGGGGAATTCCTCAGAGGAGGGCAATATGGAGTTAGATGAGGTCATAGGGCTGTGGTGTAGACAAGTTGGGGTGACTGTGGAGAGGACTCACATGGAGGGAGGTGGGGTCACAAAGCTGTGTAGACATGTGTAGTGACAGTTGAGAGGACTTAGATTAGGGGCAGTCACAGGGCTGTAGTGTAGACAGGTGGGGGTGATCACAGTGAGGACTCACGTGGAGGGAGTTGGGGTAACAGGACTGTCAGGGCTGACCTCACGGTAGAGAGTTGTGGGTTCACATGGGATGACGGTTGAGAGGACTCAGCTGGGGGCAGTCACAAGGCTGTGGTGTAGACGAGTCGGGGTAACAGTGGAGAGGACAGATTGGGGGGCAGTCACAGTTTCTAGCTGCAGACGCACAGGCTGGTATGCCCCAGTCAGAGGTGACTGCAATGGAGGGAAGGGAGATGACACAGCTGTGTGAGGGGATAAGGAGGGAGAACTCTGGGAGGAAAGGAGCGATTGTGACACCTGACCCCCAGCCAGCATGAGCACAGATGAGGGCTAACTCAGGTGACCACCTCCTCAGTCTGCAGATACACTCACACGGCTGCCATCCTCAGAGGAGACCCACACCTTAGTCTGTGCAGGGCACTCTCTGCCCCTGTGGGGAGCCCCGCTCTGCTGCTTTCCGTCCTGGGGCATCTGCGTGCAGTACCTGTGAGGCCACATGATGCAGAAGCTGGCCTTCTGGCGAAGAAGGTCTTACACTGCCTCCTGAGGTCAACACGCGCCACTTCCCGGAAATGATGTGCTTCAACCAAACTGAAGATCCACAGCTGAAAGTCAGACACACACGTCAGGTCTCCACAGAGGGACGGCAGGACGTGCATGCAGCACCACGGGGGCCACAGGAGGGTCTGTGAGGACAGAGTCAGGTCTCCACAGAGGGAAGGCAGGACGTGCATGCAGCACCACGGGGGCCACAGGAGGGTCTGTGAGGACAGAGTCAGGTCTCCACAGAGGGACGGCAGGACGTGCATGCAGCACCACGGGGGCCACAAGAGGGTCTACAAGGAGAGAACTGCCCTGAGGACAGACACAGCATGGCTGACACACGAGACAGCTAACAGAACAGGTGCAGGATGGTCTCACAAAACAGCCTCTGGAGGTCCTGCTGTGCAAATATCCCTTAACACAAGGCCTGACGTGGGCACCTGCAGCCATGTCCAAGGTGTCTACACATCTCACAAAGCCAGCAATGGTGTCCAACCACTGGGCATCAGACACAAACATCCTCTCTTCGCCAGAGAAATAAACCCTCACCTTAGTTCCCACAGAGGACACCTCCCTCCATGAGCAAACAGCAGCAAGGTGACCACAGGGCCCCAGCACTGTGAAGGACCGTACCACACTCCCCAAAAGCATAGCATGAAGACAACTCAACACCACTCAACAGCACACAATGCTGCCAGAGGAACAAGTAGTTCTCGGCCTGGCCACCCATGGGCCTCCCAAAAACTGACTGGACTCTGGAGGACATGCAGGAGGGAGTGAGGTCAGACCCCAAGCGGGACCTGCTGACCACATGGAGCCCAGCACCTTCCCTGTTCCCCTTCCAGTGGTGAGTCCCTGCAGGGTCAGAGGTCCTGGAGCCGCAAGGATAGAGATCCCACCTGGCCGTCGGCAGATCCAGTGATAAGCTGCTTCGTCTCTTCACAGACCAACACGCTGAGCAGGGGGTACGCTGGGGAAGGAACACAGGACACGCAGCTGCAGACCTGGGCCAGCAAGCCCAGCCCTTCAGTCAAGAACATCTTTCAGTTATGTGAGCCACAGACCCAAATCACAGGCTGGAGGGCGGGTTCCCATGGCCAGACCCTCAGGACACGACTCTCCAGGCATCCATCCGTGTCTACAGCCAGCTTGAGAGCAGACTGCCCATCAACTCGGCACAACGGGCAGCAAGGATTTAAACCACAGCCTTCTGGCTACCAAACAGTGCCTTAACTACTGCAGCACCAGGAGCTGCCAAGCGTGTTAGGCTAAAAGCAGTTTTTGTTCATCACACAGAAAGGAAAGTGTCCCAGTATAAACAGTAAGTGAACACTAAGCCCCCAGCTCTGTGCTTTCTTTCCATGTGCCCTTGAACAGTAACCAGCTCACATCTGACCCTCCAGTGGGCGTTCAGAGGCAGGAAAGCTCATGGGAGGGGACTGCCCATCTGTCTTCCATGCAGCTCCTACGGGATCCGAACTTCCTGTCTTTGGGTTGGCAGTGGGTGCTGAGGCTCCCAGTGCTGTCCTTGGGCAAGTGCCTACTTCACTCACCACTGGAGGGGAACAGGGGAGAGCATTACACTAGAGCCAGCTGGCCGTCCACACAGGGCCGTGCACCCTTCTGCCCACATCGCTGTACCCCGGGAGGACAAGTCTGTCCCCTCAGTGAGATGACGTGGAGAGCAGAGTGCATACCCACCCCACTGCCCACAACCAGGGACCCCTCCCACTGTCCACAGAGAGTGATCAGGGACACCCCACTGTCCACAGAGTGACCAGGGACCCATCCCACTATCCACAGAGTGACGAGGGACCCATCCCACTGTCCACAGAGTGACCAGGGCCCCCTCCCACTGTCCACAGAGTGACCAGGGAACCCCTACTGTCCACAGAGTGACCAGGG